TGGTGAACAGCATGACCATTCCAATGGCCGGTGCTATGCTCTTCCAGTTCATGTTGTTGGAACCTGTCATACCTTGGGGTGTTCCACCTTACCAAGGGCTTCTGGCAGTTGCTGCTTGGACCCGCTTCCCGCGAGGTCCTTTCCTTCATGCTGGTGTTCCGCGTGATGAGGCCGACACGCGTCGTGCAAGGCTTCTTCGACAGTGCCCTGTTTTTCGAAAGCACCATGACCGAGTTTTTGAGGACCTTACTCTACAAGAGCTGTTGTGATCGATTACATTTTAGTCTGGACCAACACTCTGGAAGAGTACTTGGCAGTTCTGGAAGAACTCTTTGCCATCTGTGTACGACACCGACTACGTCTGAACCCTCGGAAGAGCACCCTCCTCTGCAAGGAAATCAAGTGGTTATGCCGGATCATAGACGGACACGGTGTACGACAAGACCCCGAGCGACTTTCGTCACTCTGCAAGATCCCGTACCCCACAACGGCTGGCCAACTGCAACAGATCATCTGCGCAGTCAACTGGATCCGTGATTCCCTTATCGACTTTGCCCAAGCCGTGGACCCGTTACAGAAGAAGCTCACGGATGCATTAGCTGGCAAGCGGCGCCAGAAGCGTACCGCTGCATCGATTGAAATCGAACTCAGCCGCGATGAACGTGCAAGCTGGGACAAAGTCAAGGAACTTATGGTGGCCGCAGTGCAACTGCACCACCCGGACGAACGCGCGACCATGTGTCCGTTCACGGACGCGTCCCAGGAAGGGTGGTCCATCAAGGTGACACAAGTCGAAGCGTTCGACGAAGCGAAGCCTATCCACGAGCAACAGCATGAAATGCTAGTGAGCCAGTCAGGCATGTTCGACAAGATCCCGAGGAACTGGAGCGTCATCGCAAAGGAAGGCTGTCCTATCGCTCGTGCATGCGACTCGTTGAAGTACCTGCTGCTGAGGCCCTTGGGATTCCGCATGTACTGCGACCACAAGAACCTCATTCACGTTTGTTTGTTTTCCCACGACAAGGAAGTCAAGGCACACACACGGGAAAAGCTACTGCGTTGGGCCGACCTCATCGGCCAATACCGCTACGTGATCGAGCAGATCGACGGCATGAACAATCTGTGGGCCGATCTATTCAGCTGCTGGGAACAACCCGCGCCACTGAAGACACATGTGCTCCGCCTACACTCTGAGATGTTCCCGATCTTTGACACCATCGTTTGGACACGCCAGAAGCGTCAAAACCACGTACATCAGTTAAAACAATGAACGAAGCGCAAGAAGCGCCACAAGCCAAGAATGGTTTACAAGCCGCCGAAGGCGAAGATCCGCTCGCTGGACGACACGGATTTTATTTGGCCTGACATGGAGTCAATCATTCAAGCCCAGAAGGCTGTGGAGGCACCATCAACCGCTGTCATGCAAGAAAACGGTGTCCTCTACCTGCGTGAACGCATCTGGATACCTGACGATGCCCACGACCTGCTCACAAGGCTGGTCATCATAGCCCATTGTGGATCGATGGGACATCGCGGACACCAATGCATGGCCAGCCACATCCGACAACTGTTTACCATCTCGCATCTCGACGAGAAGCTCGCTGCATTCCTCAGGTCATGCCTGTTGTGCCCGCATATTCGGGGTGCGAAGATTATCCAAAGACCTCATGGGAGGGAGGGAATACGTGGTCAGCAACACGGCGCAACCAAGGACTGCACTTCGACTATCTATTATGGGTGAAACCTGGCAAGGTTCCAAGTATGTGTTGGTCTTGAAAGACGACCTTACGCACTTCGTACGGCTCATTGCATGCGACAGTCCAACTAGTCAAGTTGCGGTGGACGCAATTATGGACTGGTCGGCCATGTTCGGAGTACCAAATGTGTGGATCTCCGACGGCGACAGCCTTCAATAACAAAATCATGAAGGCGCTAGCGCACGCCTCAAAGTCCAGCACAACATTGTCCTGGCCTACTGTCCGTGGAGAAACGGAACGGCTGAGCGAGTGAATCGCGATATGCTGGCAGTGATGTGAGTCATGTTGGCCGAAACTCGGCTAGCCGAGACCGAGTGGGACTATCTATGCCCGTAGTGCAAGCGAACTTGAACCAAACGTCAACCGAATCTCTGGGTGGTACGTCTCACATGGTCGCTTACACTGGATTAGATCCGACTACGCCCCTCAACGTCATCACCGGAAGCGTCAACAGGAAGTTGATCGTGGATGGATTGACGGAAGTCAACTGGGAACGACCCAAAATCAGAGCCGCGATGAGTGTCCTACGACGCAGCCTTGGAGAGATTCACTCCAAGATCCTAGACCTCTAGCGTGCACAGAACCGACAGATCCTCAACAAGACCAACTCGACAGCGTTTGAAGTTATGGAAGGCGACTACGTACTGTGGTCAAGGGTTGATGAAAACTCGTACTACCCGAAGCTATCCGTCACGTCGATTGGCCCCTTCCAAGTCAAGGAATGCCTGCCGTACTCGTGCGTGATTGAACATGTTATCAACGGAAACGAACGGGAAGCTCATCATTCAGACCGGTACCTCGACCTCACGTAGGAAATCCTTGATACGTCAGCAACCAGAGCGCTGTGCTGACCGTCGGCGCGATTCAAGCTGCCAGACTCAACCCCGGGACTAACCGATGTGAGCTCATAGTACAGTGGAAAGATCATGAAACCATCAAATCCAGCTGGGAGCAATTCCTTGTGATGTACGGCGAAGTACCGCTCCTTGTGAAACAATTCGTCGACGCACTCCAAACCGAAGGGCAATGCCGAGCTCTGCTCGAGGCTCTCGCATCTCTGTAGTTCCTCGCGCCTAGGTGTTGTGCCGGCCGGAGCAACGCAATCCATACTCATGATGCGACTGCAGGAGCTCGGTTTGGGGGAGCATTGCGTACCTTCACGAACTTCCCATGGTTCCTAGTCGCAAACATTCACCACTGGACATCCTTAGGGGTGACACCGTGGGCGGCGGCAACGGCTCCGGACGCTTGGGATAGACTGGTGCGATCAAAGGACGACAGGTGACGGACAGTCTATGTATAGTACGTGTCAGACAGTCCAGTTAGTTTTCATTGGTTAGTTTAGTTAGGGGTAGGTTCCCCGTTGGCCCGGGGAATACTAGTCAGTCCAGAATAATTTGCTTCCTCGAGATCAATACACGGCACCAGGGTGGCGTCTCGCCAGGGAGGAGGTAGAACTTCCGACGATCTTTGTCTGCGTTGAACCATTTCTCATCTAAGTGCACCACGCCCTATAGACTGTCGAATTCAACGCTTTCGGGCAAAATGCAAGGCGTTCTGTCTTGTTGGCCTCCGTAAGCAGCGGCTTGATACGCGACGATCGACGTTGAAGAGTGCCCTTCTTCAAATGACGGCTCAAGGTTCCAAGGGTTAGTCCAGTGGCTGCGGCCATATCGCGGTAGGTCGATCGCTGTTCGACTGGGGTTGCTCCGACGAGCTGCTTAATTGGGGCTGGAGTGTACGTAGGCTTGGGTCCAATATTGCCTGGCTTGTTGGATTTCATTGCGCCGCCGGCGGAAAACAATCGCCAAGTGTTGGCGACAGTGTGCGAGGGTCGAGGCTGATCTGCTCTGCAACGTGCTTGAAAGCTCCACGGGCGAGCTTGTCCGTCTTATGGAAGAGCTGTAAACGTTGGATGACCCTCACTTTGTCGCTGCTGGACAGCTCTTGGCATGTGCGGTGGTTAACTTCATTCGTGGCGCCAAATTCAAAAGTG